AATCAGGAAGACCTAAAATTTTATATAGTGGCGGCTCTGCCGCCACTAAAACAGTTAAATACAGTTTTGTTTTTGAATAAAAGTGTTCGCTTGCCTTGGTGAGGCTTTAGTACTTAGATGCAGCGGATTGCGATCCGCTACACTCATACTGGTAATTGCAAAGAACATAGGGTCGGTGACCTTAGCTTACCTTCCTCTAAGCAAAGATATACGGCGACCCCGCTGCACTTAGTAGCACTCACACTCAATCTACGTCTAAGTCGTTACGACTGACCCTCTGTGAGAATGACAAATATTCCTATGTTCTCCAAGGCACACAGGACGGGCTCAATAAGCTGATGTCCTTGCTGGGCCCTGACGGCGTGGAGCACCTCGTCGCGCAAGGGCCCGAAGACATAAGGGCGCGCCTAGAGGCGTTTTCAAACTATAAAAATGTTCTGTTAGACCACTTACAGCAGAAGCTGCCACCGTCAACGACGTACGATTCCTTCCGACCCAGGCCACTCATGGTGAGCGTTAAGACCTTTGAGGGTAAGGATGGAGAAAATCTCCTGCTCTGGATGAGAGAGGCCAAGATGGCATCCACCCTGCATAAAACGACCAACCGCGCGAGGCGCTAGCTATCTTGCTCGAGGGCGCGCGCGAGAATAGCGCTAACGTGTGGTGCTTCTGCTAAAGCGGGGTTTCCCTCCTGGACGGAGCTGGACCGTCAGCTTCTGCGAATTTTCGCGCCACCTAATCAGGCGTATCGTGTGAGATCGCGTTTTCTTGCCGCCCGACAGGGCAAAAAAGAGTTGGTGGACTTTCTCCAAGAGTTGAGAACTCTCATTGCTGGGATGGCAGCAGAACTCCTCCCCGAGGCGGTCGCAGTGACCGTCTTTATGGAGGGCCTCCGCATTGGTGTGGCCGAAATGGAAGTCTTCCGCGTGCATTCGTCTTCTTTTAAAGAAGCGGTTAGCGTGGTACTGAATGGCGAATTCAACTTCAAGTCGGTACGACTTGGGTGGAAAAGACCTTGGGCGCTACGCGCACTTCTCCAGGCGGAGCTTTGGAGAGTCATGAACCCACCTCTGCTAGTAAGTAGTAGCGCCATTGACGCGGGCACTTCTCCGGGACGGTCAATGTGCTGGATATCGGAGTATCCGAGCTGCCAAACATCGAAGGCGTATTGAATAAGAGTCCTGAGCATGGCTCGCGGGATGAACGTGGAGTGGCACGTAGCCCACTGAGCACTGATCACGCTACGAATCAGTTGCTGCGTGCCAAGAATGGCATGGTCGGACGAGGTCCGAGGTATCAAGAACGGTTTTAGTGATGCGCGTGGAGTGGCACATAATCCACTGAGCACTGCTCACATTTCGAAGCAGTTGCTGCATGTCAAGTGTGGCATGGTCAGACGAGGTCCGAGGCATCCTGGGCAAAACCCTTCTGACGCGCGTGGAGTGGCAC